CTCTCCTCCCGTGTTGCGTTTCATTCTCCTCTTCTCTCCCCCCCTCTTCCCCCCCCCCGCAGGTGTCTTAGCCGGCCACGATAACCGTGTCAGTTGCTTAGGAGTGACTGACGATGGCATGGCGGTGGCCACAGGATCGTGGGACAGCTTCCTCAAGATCTGGAACTGAAGCCTGTAGGTACCCATTCCCACGCTCCCCTTCCCCAACGCAGCGGGCGGGGAAACCGTGCCAGAATCTGCTCCCATCTTTATACTTTAAAGCTGATTACGGGGTTGGGGAGGCAGGCCAGTTCCATGGCTTCCTTTTTTTAAAAAATTTTTTTGCAGAAGAGAGCAATGGAGTTGAGCCTAATCCTTGCCTGATCTACCTCTAGGGGCAGGGAAACCATCATTGTATCAAATGATCATCAGGGGTTTCTGCATTCTAGTTTAAGGGATGCTCAGTCCGGAGCAGGTGATAAGCTGCTCCTTCTCCATCTCTCTGCCCTGTGCTTGAGACATGGCTCCCGAGAGGGCAAAGCCATCGGGGGGGGGGCTCATTTCCCTCCCTTGCCAAACCCAGTACAGGTAGTCCTCGACTTAACGGCGGTTTGCTTAGCGACCGTTCAAAGTCACAACGCCACTGGGGGAAAAAAAAGCGGCTTGTGACCATTTCCTACGACCGTTGCAGCATCCCCGGGGTCACGAGATCCAAATCCGGCCGCGTGATAACTGGCACGTGGAGCAGGGTCCCCGGGATCACGGGATCCCTTCTTCTGAGAAGCAAACTCAGTGGGGGAAGCCCAGACCCTGTTACTAACTTAGCAACTTAACAACAGTGGGGCAAGGAAGAAGGCCATAAAATGGAGCAAAACCCAATTCTCGCTTAGCAGCAGAAACTTTGAGCTCAGACTACCTATAATATATATATCCCAGTGGCTTTGGTTCCAGGACCTAACCAAGGTTTGTTTGTTTTTTCTCTCTCTGTATGTGTGTATTTTCTGGCAGGACAGTCCGTGAACTCCCCACTGATCGGAAGAATTTTTTTCCCCCAACGGTTGAAAGTTTAAAATAATGTATCCAACTCAATATACTAACTTGGATCTCCCCCCCCCCGCCTCTCTCTTTCTCCTTCCCCCCCCTTCCTCCCCCACCACCAAAGGGCAAGATCTTTTTCACGTCTCTCTCGTTCGCCGAAGCAAAAGAGCACAATTCTCTCTCAACGAGGAATCACCCCGCGGTGGTTACACGCCAAGTGAATAGCAAAAGAGATCAAAATTGTGCATTCCATTGGGGACCACGTTTTTCTTTTATTTTTGTTTTAGTTTGGTTTGTCTAGAGAGAAACAAACAAACAAACAAACAAACTTAAAAAAGAAATCACACGCTCGTGTAAGCATGCCGGGGCAAAACTTAAAGCGAAGTAAATGATGATAGATAAATAAGGAAATCAAACAAGCTTGTGAAGCAAGATAAAGCCTTTTACGTTTCACTGTAGTTTAAAAAAAAAAAATGGCAAATCATACTGACTTTATGGGTTACGGTGGGAAGGCTTCGTTTTAATCTCCTTTTCGAAACTTAGAAGTCGCGTTCGTAGCAAGATGGATATATCCCCGTGGTTTTTGGGGTTTTTTTTTGGTCCATGTTTCCATTTCCTTTTCCCCTTTTTTTAAATTTTATTTTTTTCCTTTTTTAAAAAAAAACAAAAATGCAATTTGCTTTTGATGGTCCAACTTTGAGCCAAGAGGATGGAGTCCCAACCCAGATTTTTTTTTTTCTGGGCTTGTTAATGCTGTAAATTTATTCCCTGAGTTTTATTTTATTTTTTCTTCTTTTTTCTTTTTTTAAAATTTTTTTTCCTCTGTCTTAATGTCACAAATTGTTGCACAAATATTGCATATATATGATAATGTTAAGAAGATAACCAAGCACACTCTGTACATGGTATTGAATGTTTTAAAAAAAACAAACAACTTTTCACTTCTGTGGATAACAAAAAAAAAAATTACGTTCCCTCTTTTTTTATTTTTCCTAGCCCCAATCTCGCCTTGCTGGGCATTTTTCATTTCCTACCTGTTTTGTTTGATTTATTAACGCCGAAGACCATCCCATAATCTCAATAAACAACTGGATTTGGTGGACTGGGGTTTCAGGAGCAGGGCTGGGAGGAAAAAAACAACAACCAACCAACCTTGGCTAGGTCTGAAGCAAGATCCAAATTGATTTTATTTTTTTTTTTAAATGAAAAACACCATCTGAGATTTTTTTTTCTAAATTAAACAATTATGATGGAAAGGGGGGGGGGAACGTTTGGGATTTGCCAATTGGGGCTGGATTACTCTTAGAATCGCATGCTGTAGAAACGCTGAAGTGCATAATAAAACTAAGACGTCCTTCTCTTGTGTTTTTTTTTTTTTTCAAGAAATAACCTAATCCTTTTCTTTTTTTAAAAAAAAAGAAGAAAAAAGAGAGAAAGCAAGCAAGCAGCTTGTAAACCATTGCTGATTTTCTTTACTGCCGCTACTGGGGTGCCTAAAACGGATTCAAGCGAAGAATGAAAAGTCTCCAGACTTTTGCACATCTGGAAATAGGGTGATAGTCGTTATTTTTAATACGTTTTTTCCCCTACTCCTTCTCCCCCCCTCCCCCCAAAAAAACCATTGAAAGCAAAAAGCCAGCTGTTTGAACACTCAACTGAGATTCATATCTGGGGTCGAGAGAGGAGAAGAAAAACAGGGTCAAAACCCACCCAATTAAGCCCTTTTTCTGGCTTTGCATTTTGAAAGTTGATGAGCCTTGGGGGGACAGCAAATCGTTTGGATAAACTTTTCAATTCTTCCTCTCCTCCTAACCTGCCTCCCCCCCCTTTTTTTTTTTTTGCAGCAGCAGCAGTGATTTTTAAATCCATTTCCTTTTCACTCTCTTGCGTTTTTCCCCCCCTGCGACATTCTGTACAAAATGTGCTGTAATCGTGCATTTTTATTATTATTATTATTATTATTATTATTTTTAGGCCTGGATTTGGCATCTTGAATTTTGGGATTATTATTTTTTTTTTGGATTTTTTTAATCACCCTCTTTCCTCTTCCCTCTCCCCCCCCCCGCCCTCCCCTTGAGATAAGTCTCTGTAGAGCTTCCTCTGCGCCCTCTGATTCCTTCACTTTTTGTATTTAATTTTAAAAGTCGGTGTACTTCAAGAAAGCTGGATGCAAGATAGATCCTATATTAAAATGTACTGTTATTTAAGATGTAATAAAGCAGTTTGACATGAACGGCTGGCGGGCCCTCGTGGTTTTTGCTGGGACCCGAACCTGCATTTTGGGTTTTTCCTTCCTCGCAAAATATAGCTGAGTGGCCTGGTTCCTCCAGTTTATAGGCCATAAACCATGGATTGCTACCACTGCAGAGCTTCCAGGACACACTAAGCCAAAACCAACTGGGTTTAGATGAAATGTGATAGGTAAGCATAATTAATTTTTGTGTGTGTTTGAATTGCACAACCCACAATGGTCCAGCACGGAATAGGCTGGGAACTCTGTTCTATATCCCAAAGTACAGAGGAGCTATTATTGATGTTTATTAGGCTGTGTCTTAGCAGGTTGTGCGAACCAACCCATCTTGGGACCCTATCTAGCAGCTGGTGTGTGATGTAGGTTTTATCTGTAATTGGATCATTATATACGCGTTCTATAATCTGTAATGTCCGATGTAGTTTTATAATTAGAATTGAGGTGTGCGATCCCTCTACCCACTAAACTAGCCTTGGATTCTCTTTGTTTAAAGCCAAGCCACTGAGAAGTGTGGAGAGCAGGCCCTAAATTGTGCAAAAATAAAATAGGCTTATTCTTGTGGACTGGTGATTACGACGTTCTTATATTTTTTTTTAAGCTAGAGGATTTCCCACTAGGTTCTTGCAGTCTCAACGTCTCGGTCTAAAATCATTCACGTTTGTGTTTGTTTAAACACACGAACCCAGCTTCGTGGCTAATTGCACAGGCCTGGAGCCTGCTAGGCAAGGATGATGGGTGCTGATATCCCACACCTTGAAGGGGGACACGACGTGGAAAAGACACGTTTGCTGTACCATTTGTGCAGGCTATCTTGGCAAAGGCACTGGAAAACTGAAAAGGAATTCCCAAACTCCCAAAATGTGGGGCTTGTGTGTTGCTGCATTCGTACATGCCCACCCAACTCAATTCAGATAATCAGGATGTTTGGAGAAATGCTAGAGCAGAAGAACAACAACAAAAGGTAAAGTGATCCTGGAAACAGGGCATGGCTGGCTGGCTGGAAGAAGAGCAAAAATCAAAATATTTATAAAAGCTCTTTTTCTCCCCTCGAGAGAGGGAAAACACGGAACTTGACTCCTCCTTTCTCTGCCAAGGCAAGATGCAAACTCGCCAACCCTTCCCCAGGCCTTGATAGTTGGAATCGGCTCCCAAAAAAGGGGGGTGCAAAAATCCCAGCCTTTTTTCAGTGGCTGGAGTGGTGGCATCGCCACTGTGGTCCCGGGAAATCTCAGCTGGAAAAACGCAGTGGCAGCCAAGCCGAGAAAGCAGCTTGCCAGGAGGTGGGGTGGGAGGGCTGGCTCTGATCCAGGATGACTCATCCCTGCTTTCACAAGGAATTATGTTTGCTTATTCAAACAGCTCTCTTGTCCAGTAGCTTTTCGTAACCGTTATTTTTTTTAAAAAATGGTTTTGAGTTGCGAGGGAAACCAACGGAAAAACAAGGTAAAAGGAGGGGATGGGTGATTTGACGGACGCATTTTCCTGTCCCGTCGTTTGCCACGCCTCTTCCTGCCTCGCCAACTGGGGATCGCTTGGTGGTCTCCTGTCCAGCCTGAACTCTGATTAGCTTCCGGGTCCACGCAAAGTTGGCAACGTGCCTCCTCTTATTTGCATTAAGGCATTTTACACGCCAAGCTCACTTCTGGGCATTGACAAGCTCGACACTTCCTTTTTTCCCCCACACTTCTGCATTAGTTTTTTTAAAAAACAAAGAAACTTCACATGCTGGCTTATTGGGGGGCATGTAGAGAGTTACCATTGACCAATGAAATCTATCTAAAAAAAATAAAATTCATCTTTGTTTTGTTAAGTCACTCTGCCTAGCAGATTTTAATCTCTAAAAGTGCTTTAAAAATGCCCTTGTATACGAATAAGAATTGTTTGCACACACAGAGACAGTTTCACATTACACAAAGTGGGCCTTTATTTTAAAATCTAACAATAAGTAAGGTATTCTTAACTATTAAGTGAAATTTATTTAAGTCTAAAATGCCCTTACCTGTTTGATCCACTAGAGGGAGCCGTTTCAACACTTAGCTTTCTTCAAAGGACTGAATGGAAGAACTTTGCAAACCAAAAATAATCTTGCATCTTTTTGTTTATTTTTTATTTTCTCTCTGCAATGAGGCTGCCAAGATTGAAAATGGCCATAATCAATCCTTTGGCATCGTCATTTCTCCACGGTACACATTAGAAAAGGCAGAACAAATAACTGGTTGTAAATGAGGTGAGCTGTTAAATGGCAGACAAAATGGAAAACCTCCAGAAAAAAAAAAGATAAAAACCACTTTGGGAAGGAAAAACAACAACAGAGAAATTGCAATTGGGATCCAAAGTAGCGGGGAGGGACTGTTAGGGTCCCTTCCCTCTCCAATTCATTTTTAGTAGATATCTGTAGGTATTCAAGTATCAAATAAATAAATAAAATCATCCTTTGGGCAAATTCTGTGGTTATTTCACAGGCAGCTGGGGTGGTATAGCATTATATTTGATTCTTGCAGCAAATAATTAAATTATTTAGTAAAGAAATAAGTACAAGAGGACTAGCGACCTATTTTGCAATCGGGGCTAAAACTAGCAAATTAATTAGCAAGCAAGTTCTTTCTGATTGACATGACCTTAAGATAAGGGCTTTTGAGGAAAATCAGATTATTATTTGCTCATTTTAGAAGAGACAACAGTTAGGGGTAGATTTTATTTGTCAGTTCTTCCAGTCCCTTTGTTTGTGGGCTTCCAAGCTTGGAAAAAAAAGAGCCTTTTTTCTCTCTCTTTCAGTTCCAAATGCTTTAGAAAACACC